AAACTAGAAATGGAAAATTATTGATGATAACATATATGCATGATTAAGCCACTATGCAGAATATTCTGGATGGGAAATCACATTTTGTATACTGTGACAATGCTTAGGGAATGAATGCAAATTAATTAATTAAATAAATGTTTCAGGAAAAAAAAGCTCATGGAAATACGTGTAATGGGAAAACTATGTAAGAATTTCAAAAAGTTTTTGTACAAAAATAAATTCATAATTTAATTGTAAAATAAATAAATTAATTTAAAAAAACCTTTTGCTAGGCTATGGAAACAGTCCCTAATCACAGCTGATGTTACAAATTTGGTCATGCACAGGGAGGGACACTGCTAAGCAGATAGTGAAGCAAGTTCTATATATTTGCTTGATATCCAAGGTCTGTATATTTATTTGATACACGTGCACATGTATGTGTGTTTCCACCCAAGATCCCATAAGAATGGAGGAAAAGAGACTGTGGCATGGGCATCCCCACTGGCAGGTGACTTCTCACTTTCCCTATAGCAAAACTTAAAAAAAAAAAAGTAAAAGAAGCCAATAAACATATGAAGACATTCAACATCACTAGTTATTTGAGAAATGCCAATCAAAACCAAAATAATACATCAATTAACAACCACTAAGAGTACAATAATTTTAAAAAAGAAAAATAATGAGTATTAGTGAGGATACAGAGAAATTGCAAACCTCATACTGATACATTGCTAGTGAGAATGTAAAATGATGTACCCACTTTGGAAACAGTCTGGGAGTTCTTCAAATGTTTAAACTTGTATGATCCAGTAATTCCACTCCTAGATATATCCTCAACAGAACTAAAAAAGCTACATTTACACAAAAATTTGTATGTGAATGTCTGTTGCAGCTTTATTCATAAGAACCAACAAATAGAAACAACACAAACATCCATCAACTGATAAATGGATAAACAAAATGTGGTATGTCAATACTAGGAAATATATTCAGTCACAAAAAGTAATGAAATGCTGATTTGTGCTAGGTGAATGAACACTGAAAACATTATACTAAGTGAAATAAGCCAGACACAAGAGGTCACATACTGTGTGATTCTTTTTATGTGTATGGGTGGTCATAAACGTCATGACATACTTGTTCAATGTTTTTCAAACGTCACTTATTTATATAAAGAACAAAGATCAAGTGCCAGACACCAGGCTGCCTGTGACTGCAGGCCCTAACAACCAGGACCCGCCATTCGTCCCTGCCCTTACTCATCTCTGGACTTGAGGTTGGTTTCTTGGGACTTTAAGACAAACTTGCACCCCTCCCCACCCCATTTGGAGACCGGTTCAAGCCAGCAGCAGTACTGGTCACCAGGCTGCCTGTGGCTGGGGGGGCCCACGGGTGGGGGCCCGTGGG